CTTCCTAACTCACTACAAGTCTTCTCTCAACTTGCTGGACTTTTCTAGGCCTCAGTTTCCCAGTTTTCCGTAGACAACAATCCTTCACTCCTCAAGAGTTCATGGACACAAATTGAAAGCTGGGTGTGAGTTCCCTTTCTCCCTATGTCTAGCCATTTGGTCTTGGGAAATTCACTCCACATTTCTTTTTTTTTTTTTTTTTTAAAGCAGACGTGCTAACCACTACACTAGGGAGTCACCCCCTCATTCCACATTTCTGAGCTCCATTCTAGGCAGCTACGGAGAGGTCTGTACCCCTGGGTAGGTCTTTGTCAGATGATGTCTGCAGACCAGACACCTTCAGAATGGAAGAGGGCACTGAAGTGGAGAGATGTACTTGGAAGTGTCTTGTAAAATGAATGACACAAACCTGGAAAGCCTTGCATGGCATATTCGACCACAGCCCTTTTTCAACCAAAACTAGATTTCCAAGCCTAAATTATAGACTGAAGCCTCCATAGCCCGAGCAACATGAGAAGGACAAAACAAGTGAGAGACAGCAGAAGATTAAAGATATTCACCCACAGGAATAAAACCAATAATTGAGAGTTTTGTAGAGCCATCTAAAAAAGAGTCAGCAAAAAGCTTTCGGGATCTCAGATTTATTCTAATACTGAGTAGGGAATTATTACCACGAGATTTTAAAAACTTTTGTAGCTTCCCCAAGTTTATAATTTTGTCACTCATCAGCTGTTTCTCTGGTATGAATAGCAGTTTGAAAAAAATCATAAAGCCAAAAAGTGCTCATGTACTTATAAAGAAGAGCAAGTCAGTTGGGAGCTTTTGGAAGTAGCCACTGGGTACCTAGCTGGATTGGCCTAAAAATGAAGTGTAGGAATAGCACAGAGATGTATGGAAGAGAAAAATAGGATTTCATCATGATGATTATAATCTATTAGTCAGTAATCACATATTAGGTTTTTGTCATGCATTCCTCACTTAACAGCTCTATGAAATAAGTACTACTATTATCTCGATTTTACATTTTGAAGAAACTGAGATTTAGAAGAGGATAGAACAAGTCACTCACCTGAAATTCTATAAGGGGAAAAAACAGCACAAATTGGCAGAGCTGGACTATAACCCTGAGGCTTTGGACTCCCCAACACAGCTCCTTTAACCCCTACCCAATGCTACGCAGGAGAGTGTGAGAAGAAACGACCAGAAAGAAAGAATTCGGGATATTATCAAGAAGGCAAATGTGAGCCTGAGGCATAATCAGCAGAGGATTAACAATTAAGATTTGTGTTATTTATTTTATAAAACACTTCCATGTACGAGATTTTATTTAAGAAATGACATAGTGATGTGGTTCTGCTTGCCCTGGCTGCAGAGTCCCTACCCAGTGGAGATTGGGTCTTTAGGGAACACTCTGGAACCATTTCACACGTTCCTGCTGCCCAGCAAGAAACGAATTAATCCTCAGGTTATATGGAAAGACTTAAATTTCTAGGTACCTGGAGCGGTTAAGAGCTTGTAGCTGGGGTGAGAACCTGTGAGGGTTCTTATTGTCATTTTTACTGTTGTTTGTGTTTCCAGCTGTGTGATCTTGGGCAAATCACCCCACATCTCTGAACTCAATTCTAGACCTCTCTGGGTAATGCTAGTTTTAAGGAATAGTAATTTTGACAAGATCCTCTTTTGATTTAAACCAGCCCTCAACCAAGGAAAAAGCTTTGCCATCCAAAATTCACATGAAGAAATGAGGATGGACTGGGGGATATTTAGCCAAGGAAGGAAAAACCCACAGAGGCATGCAGGTCCTTTGAAATGGGTTGAAGTCACTTACATATAAATGAAGAAGTTGCCTTATTCTGTAAGAGCCTCCAGCAAGGAAGTCAGGGGCATCAGAGTGGAGCAGACTTGGCTAAATCCAGGTTCGTCATTTCCTAGACAAGCGTTAGAACCATCACAAATTCTTGAATGGAGGTGATAAGGATATCTATCTCATAGGGTTTTGTGAAAAATCAAAGGCTGTAATGCACGTAAATGTATAATGTTAAAACGAAGATAGACCTTAGTAGGTGTAATCTTCTCTAATAAATGCTCTGGCCCTCTGTTTCTTTATCTGTAAAATGGGGGTAATATCTGTACATAACTAGGAGGTCATTGTGAGACTTAAGTAAGAAAATGCATGTTAAAAATCCATAGCACAGCAACTAACAGCTAAGTCCTTAGTCGAAGGTAACTGTCATTATTATTATGAATGCTTTATTACCAAATCCAAGAGAGAATAGCAAATGAAAGAAAACAACCTTTTATTTCAGACTGGAAAGCAATAAAATAATATCTAAGAGCATGGAATCAGAGCTAGACTTCCAGGGTCTGGCACCTGAGACTGTGTGGTCTTAGGAAGGCTACATAAAATAGGAATGTGAACACCTGCTAAAAAGGATTGAATGAAGTGGCCCATGCGAAGAGCTGGGCACTAAGCCAGCACACGATATGTACTCAATGAACCCTGGTTTCTTCCATAATGAGTACATGTTACATGGAGACTGAGCAACCTTCTTATGAAAAGTTCCTCTTCAGCAGAGCAGCCTCTGGATATGGGAGTAGGTGTGCTCTCTCTCCCAGGAATTATCAAGGAGGAGTGAAATGAAACATCAGGGATGTTATAGAAGAGGGTAAAAAAGCGATGGAGAGTGAGTGGGCAAGGAGTTTTCAAAATGTTATTTATTTCATTTAGATCTACCGCAAATGTTATTTATTTCATTTAGATCTACTGCAAATGTTATTTATTTCATTTAGATCTAACACAATTCAGTGTAAATTAGTCTAAGACCTAAATGAAATAAATAACATTTTGACAACTCCTTGCCCACCCTCCCTCACTTTTTCAGTTGCTAACTTCTCTTCTGACAGAAAATAGCCCCCCAACTTTGCCCATCCCACAGACAAAGGAGGTTTGGATCTCTGGCACCTAGTTTTGCTTAAATTATTTATATCTAGTCCAGCTTTTGTCTTCCCGCTGTATGAGTTAGTGCATGCCGAAGCTTTTCAACACTAGCTCACGCTTGCATTTCATCCAGATTTATAGTCTTCCTTTAAAACCTATCCCCCTTCCACTCTTCTTGTCTATCCCCTCTCATTCTACCTTCTGAGACTTTGTGAGTGGTGTTACATTGACTCCCTCATGGAGTTAAAGGATGGCTGTTGTCTGGCTAATAGACATGTAATGGCTAATAAACAACTCTCTGTTAATCGGAACAGTAAAAGAATGAGATGACATTTTCTTCTCAGGAGATTGAAGAACATTAAACAAATGGTCATATCAAAGTGTGAGGAGGATATGGGAAAGCAGATAGTCTGTGGGTGGGAAAAGGAAACAGCACAGCCCTTCCAGAGAATAATTTTGTAATAGCTATTAAATTTAAAAGTGTACATTTCTTCCAGCCTAGGATTTCTCCTTTTTGGTCACCACCCTAGCTAGAGAAACACTTGCATAAACGCTTAAGCAGGCACTCACATAAGGAGTGTTCACTATAGACTATTTACAATAATGAAACGTTGGAACTGAAATGCCCCTCTTTGGACAATGGATCCTATACATATCCATAGTATAAGATACTATACAGTAATTTAACATACTGATGCAGATCTACATGGACTGAGAAAGAAAGTGATCCAACATATAATATGAGGTGACTAAAAGAAAATGCAGAAAGCTTCATATAGTATGATAGCATTTTTTAAAAAATCACACATGCACACACTTCTCCTACGAAGACATACAAATGGCCAACGAACATATGAAAGGATGCTCAACATCGCTAGCTATTAGAGAAATGCAAATCAAAACCACAATGAGATACCATCTCACACCTGTTAGACTAGCTATTATCAACAGGACAAGTAATAACAAATGCTGAAGAGGATGTGGAGAAAAAGGAACCCTCATATGCTGCTGGTGGGACTGCAAATTGGTACAGCCACTATTGAAAACAGTGTGGAGTTTCCTCAAAAAACTAAGAATTGGTCTACCATATGATCCAGCAATCTCTCTACTGGGTATTTACCCCAAAGACTTGAAAACTCATGTCCGAAAAGATATTTGCACACCGATGTTCATAACAGCATTATTCATCTTGGCCAGGACATGAAAGCAATCGAAATGTACTACGACAGATGATTGGCTAAAGAAGATGTGGTACATATATACAATGGAATATTACTCAGCCATAAGAAGAGATGAAATACTGCCATTTGCAACAACATGGATGGACCTTGAGATAATTATGTTAAGCAAAATAAGCCAGTCAGAAAAAGTTGAAAACCACATGACATAGCTTATATTACATCACAGATATAAACCTAAAAGCAATAAACAAACATGACAAACAAACAGAGAATCATGGACATGGACTATAGACTAGTGGTTACCGGAGGGGAGAGGGGAGAGATAGATGGGGTAAAAGGGGTCAAATATATGGTAACAGAAAGAAATCCAACTATGGGCAGTGAACATACATTGCAAAATACATGACTTACTGTTGAATTGAAACTTACTGGATTTCGTTAACCAATGTCACCATTAAAAAAAATAGCCACACACACACACACAAACTCTGTATATTTCTACATCTATACACACATATAAGGGAATGGAAAAAAGAGAATCAAAGAGAATTTTATTTCTACTTTTTAAAAATGTATCCCTCACAAAAATACATCAGTATAATATTTGTGTAATTTAAAATGAATTAGTAAGGTTTTGAAAAGTGATGGGTGATTCTGCGACTAGCATTCCTAGCTTCAAGTCAAAATGGCTGAGGAAGAGGGGTTCAGAAATGAGGCCAAAGAGGGAAGAAGCCAGGCCCGATGCTGTTAGCATGTTTCACTTTCATCCTGGCTTGCGGGAGGATGTAAGTTCAAAATAACTGAATCCCAAGACAAGCAGGCAGACACAGATTGTTCCCACCGCCAAAGACAAAACCACTCGTAAGAGCACAGCCCTGTACCTCTTGGCTGAGGAAAAGTCACTGAGTCATTCATTTCCCATGTCGATGCCTGGGTTGTTGACTGGAGAGCCCAAGCTTTGGACTCTGGAAAAAGCAAAGGAAAAGAGAGAATAAAATTAGGTAAATGCTTGTCTTCTTATTTTTGGTGCCCCTCTGTCCCCTAAACTGACATCTGTCATAAAACAAACAAACAAACAAATAACAACAACAAAACCCATAATTTTTACTGAGCACTTAGTACATGCCAGACACTGCTCTAAGTGATATACATGCATATTTTCACGAAATCCTCAGAAAGAGACATATAGGAAAGGTGTATTATTATTCTCATTTTACCAACAAGGAAACCAAGTCCCAGAGAGGCTGAGTAGCTTTCTCAAAGTCACACAGCAGGTAAGAGGGAGGCTTTGTGCCCAGCCAGCATGGCACCAGTACACACACATGAACCACTCTACCATGCTGTATTGTACTATCACAAGCATTGGTTTATTTACCCCTCACATGTCTGTTTTCCTCCACTTGATTATAAGCCTCATTAAGGTAACACCTACCATTTGAGTGCTTACTAATGTGCCAGGCACTCGGCTAGATCTTTTACATGCATGAAGTTACACAAGTCCACAACAAAGCTGAGAATAAACCGAGGCCAGGGACCCCTAGCAAAATGTCGTAGAACTGGGAGTCAAGCCCAGGAAGTCCTCTCTAGCACCCAACGATATAAATCATCTTATTTTTAGGGTAGCCACTGCCCCCTGGGTCTTAGAAAATACCTAAAGAAGGCTTGATAGATGTATGAAAGGACATGAATGAAAGATTCCTCCCTCCACTATAAAAAGCCAACCAGTCAAGGTGGTACACCCCTTAGGGGTTTCGACAAAGACTGGTGTGCTTCAAATCAAGTTCACAGATAAGCACCCCCTTGCCTAGAGTGGAAAGGCAAATTTTTAGAGATGTGTTGCCATGGAGAATTGCAGAAATGAATCAAAATCAGTACTTCTCTGTGTCTCTCTGTGTCTGTCTCTGTCTCTCCCTCTCCTTCCCCCATAGGAGCGAACGCTGCCTTGACATCAGTTTGTCCCAGGTAGACGTCATGGCACACAGGGTCAAAAAGTCATCTCTACTCATCTGATTCAATGACACTCTATTCAGTGTTTCTTTCTCCTCAATCTAAGAAAAGGTAAGGAAAGAAAAGAGAACAAGTGTCCACGAACCTTTGGATGTGGGCAAGGCAGTGCCTCCAAAAGTCTCCTCAGTGCTTCTCAGAGAGTTACTAGTGAGAAAGAAAGTTTCTGATTCTGGAAGAGAAAAAAAGTTTGATAAAAGGAAGCTAAAAAATAAATGTGCTGAGTAGTGAGATTTGGGACTATAGAAAAGCCTTTGTGCTTTTCTATATATTTCAGGTTTTCTTCAAAGGTTATAATTAGTTTTTAGAATCTAGGCAAAAACTACAAATGTTCCATTTTAAGATGATTATTTTAAAGGCAAAAGGAATAAAAAATACATATAAAATTTATTGGGTTAGGGTTCATGGATTTTAGGTGACTACTCAGAGTATAATAGAGTTAGCCAATTGAATATTATAAAGCTACTTAAATTATCTAGGCCTAATTGATGCAGATGAAATGCTGAAGAAAGCCTTCAAGCCATCTTCTGATTGTTTTCTAATAATTTTATCCTCAGAATATGAGATTGAAACATGGTGGGGGCTTTAATAAGCCCCCATAAGTAATGGAGCTAGTAATTCAGTGAGAGTTCCAAGGTATAGGATCAAGAAGGATTCAGGGGCGGGGGGAAAGGAAGAAAAAAGAAAGAGGGTAGAACGAGTTCACCATCAGAAAATATTATAAGGCGTCCGGAGGCCTTTTCTCAATCAATCTAATGCCTAGGCAGAGACTGAACCCTTGACAGGCTGGAACTTGAGTACCTGGTTCTTCAATAAACATCTCTAAGATTCATGGGAGGTCAACTGGAGAAGCAAAAAAAAGCTGACTTTTTAAATACACAAAGGAAAAGAAAAAAAAAAAAACAGGGAAAAAGAAAACCATAAAGCAAAAAAAAGAAAGGAACAGTTTAGTGAAACCACACACACACACACACACACACACACACGTGCACCGTTATGAGAGTTGAATTGTGCTCCTCCCCAGTTCGTATGTTGAAGCCCGAATCCCCAATAGCTCAGAATATATTTGGAGATGGGGCCTTTAAAGAAGTGATTAAGGTAAAATGAGGTCATTAGGATGGGCCCTAATCCAAGAGGACTGGCGTCCTTACAAAGAAGGAAGATTAGGACACAGACACACACAAGGGAAAGACTATGTGAAGACACAGTGAGAAGATGGCTGTCTATAAACCAAGGAGAGAAGCTTCAGAAGAAATCGACTACACAGACACCTTGATCTCAGACTTGTAGCCTCCAGAATTGCGAGAAAATAAACTTGTATTGTTTAAGCCACCCAGTCTGTGGTGTTTGTTATAACAGTCCTAGAAAACTAACACGACGGACTCATACACACACGTGCGCACGCAGACCTGAGGGCAAGTCTCTGGGCTGCCCATTCAGTGGAAGTACCCTGTTCCGAGGGACTCAAGATACATCCGACCAGCAGAAAGGAAAGAATGGCCATGGTACCATGTACCTGCATCGGCGGACCCTTCTGTGGAAGGCTCAGCAGTCAAAAGACTTGTGGTTGTCTCAGGGAGGGATCTCGGTGTGGTCAGAGGGCATGTGGTAGCTGTTGTGAGGGCGGCAGTGGTTCTTGTCTGAAGCGTTGTTCTGGTTGTGAGGTCGGGCGTAGTCATGGCTGTTGTTGGAAGCACAGCTGTGGTTGTTGTCATCTCAGTAGTGGTGATTGGGCGACGAGTGGTTGTTGGGGCTGTAACCAACAGAAGATATGTCTGGTATCATGTGGAGATGGAAGAGGAGGAAAACAACACAAATATATGTGGTATCCATTCATTCCTGTCTATTTCTACTGCCCTCACCTCGTCCACTGGCCTGGACCATTGTAATGCTCATAAAAATAGGGTTTCTTGCCACTAGCCTTGGCCTTTCCAGTTTATTCTTCACACATTGGCTAGAGTAATCTTTTAAAATGACAAATCTAGTTATCTGTCTCCTGCTTAAACCTTTTGCTGGGTCCTCCTTGGCTTAAGATAAAGAACCAACCCTCCAACCTTGCCCGCAAGGCTCTACCTGACCAATCTCACGTCTCCACTCTGCTCTTCTCATTTTCCCCAGCCTTTCTTCAGTTCTCTGAACATATTAGTGACCTTCTGGGTGGAGAAACTTTATACCTGCTGCTTCCTAGTATCTCTCTCCATTAGGCTGATTCCTACTTAACCCTCAAATCTCGGCTAAAAGGACACCTCTGCATTGAGGTCATCTGTATTCCGTAATAGCAATTTATTTGCATTCTCATACTTTACTTTCACAGGACTTGTTGCATTTCTACACAAATAACTATATATTGATTTGATGATTATTGTTTAATATCTACTTCTCCCACTAGACGGTAAGCCCCATGAGGGAAAATCTGATATTTATTTTGTTCTCTGGTACAAATCTAATACCTGCCACAGTACGGATCACATAGTAGGTATTCCAAAAACATCAATGAGTAAATAGAGGACTGCATCAAAAGTGAGCCCAAACATAAAGTTTTGGTCAAGCAAGATGAATAAACTCTAGAGATCTGCTGTACAACCTTGTATCTACAGTTCATGATAATGCATCATACTCTTGAATATGTGTTAAGATGGTTGAACTCACACTGGGTTTTCTTTGCAAAATAAAATAAAATTACAATCTAAAAAATTCGGCCCAAAGTGTGCAACATAGGTAGAGAATGTAGTCTATTTCAGATTTTAAAGATTGGTTCACACCAGCACCAGTCGCTCCCTAAACATTTGAATTTGGGTTCATTAGTCACAGTTATTTTATAGACACCACCCATTCAAATATGCCAGATTTCCATGAACTCTAATGGACCAGAAAGATACCATTAGTTTCAAGTGAACTTAGAAATGACCCCATAGAGTATTGAGGTCAACAAATATTTTATAAAATAATAGCTAGTTATACCAGGCTTGAAAAGAGAAGACTTGGATAGGCATCATTTAACTTCAATAAATCAAAATAGTAGTAACTTCTATCTCACAAAGTTGTCGGGAAAAATATGCTAATGTATATGAAAGTTCTCTAATTGAAGAATCCACATCAGTTACTTTTAAATTTTAGAGTGCAGTAGAGTCCCCTGAGAAGCTTGTTAAGCATCTGAATATCCACACCTTACCTTCCAAGATGCCCATCCAGCTAGGAATGGAGCCCAGGAACCCTCCAACTGAGGCAAGTTGAACACTGGGCTTACTTTGAAAGGCTCCATTTCAGACAAACAGGAAAGGTGGCTATTGTTAGCATCCATAGGCTTCCCTCCATATAGTTCAAATCTTTTAAAGTTTCACTATATTCCAAATTTCACCAAAAGCAACTGACAGTCACAGAAGGAAAGAACACCTGAAAACGACTATAAGTATCTCCAAATCCTACACCTCTTCCCCTTTGCCAGAAGTTTCAAACTACTGGCCTACAGGCTGAAGCTGACACACGGACGCTTTAGTTTACACAGTATACATTTTTCTAAACTTTGAAATATTTGCCAACATGCAAAAATCAGCACAGCTCACATACACACACGCGCGCACACACACGCAAACTGACAGATCTGAAACACTGGGCCCAAACTCCTGCAAACTGACAACCCCCTAGATAAGCAGCAGCTACCTTCTTCAGACTGACCTTGCAATTCCCTTCCCCACCCAACACACTCCACTCACTCACTCTGTGGCTTTCTTGGCCACCGCGAGCATTTGCTTTATACCATAGTTCCTCTAGTAAAGGCAACACCTCCCGATTTAATCTGCCCACTCATTGCTTAAAGAACTAAAGCCTCTCCACCACCACCCACTGAATCCATTGCCCACTAATTGCTGACTCTTTCCTTCCACAGACATGAGCTCCTCCATGTGCTCACCTTGTGTTAACTTCAAACGAATGTTCTTCTTCACGTCATTGAACCAGCCGGGCACCTCTATGCGGCAGCAGTACAGAGTTTCGTCATCTTCGTTGGTGTTGAAGATGGTCAAGGAGACATCACCTCTCCAGATCGGCCCCTTAAGTTCATATTTTGTCAACTTCCTTGAGAGCACCTTCGTCCCGTCAGTGTAGAGAATCTCCTCGTTACATCTGGAGTTGGGACACATGCCTTTGCCCCAGCACATGCTGTTGCTGCTCTGAGACCAAGATGCGTATGTGCAGGGCAGGGTCACCGACTCACCCAAAAACGCATTCACGACCGTCTCTGATGCAGCTGGAGCTGTAAAGAAGGATAAAAAAACTAGGCGTGCACTATTAAAATCTCTCGGATATGCTACACAGTGATTGTATAAATAGGTGCTTCCAGGAAGATGAAGAGTTGTAGTGTACACGTTTCTTTAGTATAAATTCTGATGTGCCCTTCACCACAGCCACACTCTAACTCTGTATCCTTCCAAGTAGAGACAGTTGACCCACCTGAGTCTCTGAACTCATTTCCACATCAAGCCCTTTTTGCCGATTTAAAAACTTTGACCTTGAGTACCATTCAATAAGCCAATAAACTCTCCAATGGAAAATTGACTCCAATGAAAAGAACCCTTTAAGTCGACTCTACTAACTCATATAAACAGGTCTAAAAACAGCACCGTACCCACTGTATCTCAACAAGCAGTGATCATGTGCTATTGACTTGAATGCCTCAAATGGGCCCCCTCTGTCTTCTAAGCGAGAGAGTGCTATGGCAGGAAGATAGGCTGTTGGACTATATCCCATAGTCTTTCTCTCCTTTCACTACTAGAAATAGAAATTAATTGCTCTGGATCATTTATTTGCTGTTAGACAATATGAAGTCAGGTGGAGTTTGAGTACTTTTTTAATGTTAGAACTGAAAGGGACCACGAGAATTATGTAGAATGGCAGCTGTGACATACAAAAATGCTGGAGGGTTAGATTGGAGGTATCACTATTTCTAAAGTTAAGTATCTGTGTTTCTCAACTTCAGCTCCTCATTGGCATGACCCGGGAAGGTTGTTAAAAATATATATTTTATTGTCCAATCCTGAGTCAGAATCTCTGAGGGCAAAGCCCACAGAGGTGGACATAATCAATTTCCTCGGGTCATTCTGAAGACACTGGCCACTCACCCAGTGTTTGAGGAGCACTGGACGAGCTCTTCTAAGATTATATCCATCTCTGAGACGCTGCGAAACATTTTCAGCTGCTGCACATGTTAAGCCTACTGGTTTAGCTGAACCTCAGTGATGGTACTAAACCAAAAGAAAAAAGAATGCTATTGATGTGAGGGCCAAGCAAGCTGAAGCTCCAGATCATCAGAACTATATCCAGCACCAACTTTTTGGGTATCTCGGTCCTTGCTTATTGTTTTCCTCAAAAAACACCCCCTTAAGACTCTCCATTTACTAACTTTTTGGACTCATTTAGCTAAGTTGTATAAGACATGTCCAGCAGTCCCCTGTTCCTCCCTGACCAAGTATCAGACACATAGAGGTGTCCCTCTCTTAGAGATGAGCAAGAACCCTAACAGACACCCAGAGGGTAAGCACAAGGGTTTTTCACAGTTGGCTCTCACGATGAAGGACATTCTAAATTCAGACCAGCCTGAGCCTTCCGTGAACTCACAGTCTCTTCACTTAGCTACAGTGAAAATGTTTCACAGATCATAAATGCTGTGAAAGTTCATTTTGCTCATCATGAAACGAGGGAAGAAGATGAAAAATTCATTGTCACAACCCTCAGCTGCATTAGCAACACAGAACACATTCACCTAAAACTAGTAATTTCTCAAATATGAGCTTGTTCCTATGAATATTTGGAAAATTAATAAAAAATATATTTAAGAATTATTTCTACTGGAGAAATAATTCCTTTATTTTCCCAAGTATCATAGTATAGAAGGAGGCATCCTATTATTCAATAAGAAAAGACACAATAGAAAAAGTTGGAAAGGAGATAGCAGGCAATTCATAGAAGAGGAAATATGAGTGGCCAGTAAATTTCACCTATTTGACTGGCAAAAATTTAGAATGCTGTTAACATCAAGTGTTAGCCAGACAGGGACCCAGGGAAAAATATCCTACCACAGTAAACAGCAATGAGATGAGGTGTGAATGTGTACAGCCACATTCTGGGGCAACTTGACAGTTTCTATTATACTCAGTCTGTGTGTGTGCTAGCTACCCTACACAATTTCATGTTTTATTTACCCTAGAAAAACACACATGCACAAGAAAACCTATTTGTAAATGTTCACTGCGGCCCTCATATACACGTGAATGGAAGGAACAATGTGTATATGAAAATGGCAAAACTATGGCATATTTACTTGATGGAATCATGTGTAGAAGACGGTTAGAATTAGATAGATCTATATCAGTTGGCGTGAAAACTCCAAGCCGTATTAATGTACGAAAAGGGCAAATTTCAAAGGAACACATAAAATATAAAACTATTTGATAAAATAAGCCAAGCAGTTTGTAATTTTTGGCGGGCACAGATGTATGAAGGTAAAAGCACAGAAAAGTATCTGGTAGGATATTCACCCAAGTCATTGTGTCAGTCACCTTCATGATCATTGGAAAGGAACAGGGAGGGGCTGCGGGTAGTCATCAAAAGGGATTTTTAGCTTTATAACATTTTTATTTTTTTCGCCAAGGGTGTTTCTGTATTACTCATCTGATTAAACATTAATGTTAAAAAAAAAAAGGAAGCAGAAAATTTGGCGAGGTAGAAAAACATTCATTAGGCTTACATTGTAACCCTCATTCTGTCAGTTATCGCTTTTATGTTCTTAGAGGAAAACCACAATAATCCTGACCGCATTATCATCATCCGACAAAGGGGACAGATAACAACTCCCCTCAGAAAGTGTTTCTAAGTTTCTCATGAGATGAAGTATCAGATGTCACATGGAATTAATAAAGTCTTAGTACAGGTAAGTAACCAAGCACTTCAGAATTTAGAAACAGGACAGAAAACTGTTCCTTCCAATTACAAAAGTATCCTGGAGCAAAGTGTTGGTATCAAGTCAATTCTCCTTTTGGGAATTACCCAGGATGGTGGGTACAACCTAAGTTCCGATGCCAGTTTGGTTCCTTCTCCAGCTGGTGTCCTTAAAGAAACGCCCTTCCCCAATCTGGGTCTCAGTTTCACCATCTACAGAGTGAAGTGTTTGATTTGGCATCTGTTAAGAACATGTGCAGCTCTGATTGATCCTCAGTGATTCTGAGCAGTCACTCCCTTCTAAATTAGTCATTTTAGAAAAGGCACAAATGAAAAACAGACAGTTCACCAGGTGCTGCCTCTTCCAAGAAGCTGCGCTAGCTTAACCAGCAGCTCAGTCAGTGCCCACCCATTAGCAAGAAATGTGAACTTAGACTCTGGCAGCTTTCAACATAACAAAACCCTCCACACCGCAAGTTCCCAGGACAAGATAAAGACCATTAAAATCATTGATAAAGAACCTAAATGTCCATTGATGGATGATTGGGTAAAGATGTGCTACACATATACAATAGATCTAACACTGTTCTCAAAGGGTTCTCAAATTAAAGACACAGAAAATATAAGTATTGGGTGAAGCCAGAAAATGGGGAAGGAATGAAAATAGAAGGATTCAGAGAAAATCTTTCCACCGAATGCCCGCGGAACTGTGGGATGCTATTCCAAGGAAACTACAACATTTAATATCTGGATAAACTGAATGGCCCCCAAAAAATACTTATAGATATTGATATACGGGAGTCCCCCAATAATACCACCCAATTTCTCATCAGTAAAGTCACCTTGCATGCACCTTGATCATACATGCACCTCTCCTAACTTGTTTTTAGTGTGTCACTTTAAATATAAATACATACCCAAGGATCACCAGACATTTGGGCAAAGTCTTCAACATGAAACAGATACGAAGGCAATGTCCATGATGACTTTTTCACTCACATGTCTAGACAATTGATGAGATAAAGAGCGCGTGGCTGGACAGGCAACCCTCTCTCTCCATATGACCCTTCTGCATAGCATCTTGGGCTTCCTTACATTATTACGGTATGGCATTCTCAAAGTAGACGGATTCTTACATAGGATCTGGCTTTCTCAAAAATGAGCATTCCAAGCGGATCAGGAAGAACCTTTGGAGGGAAAATATCTTTGGCAGCTAGCAACCAAAACAACCAAACCAGGGTGGAGCAGAAGAACAAAAGAATAAAATTTTGGGTAGTGGTAGCGAGTATAACTAATAGTTATCTGATGCATTTAGATATTTTAAAACAGATTTGATAGGTCTTTGACAGATAGATTGGAATATTTGGGTTAAATTTGGCGGACACTTGGGAAATTAAGAAAAAGAACAAATGAGATAATTATTATAACCAGGAAAGATAAAATATTGTATGAGCCCTAATACAGGATGAAATATTTTCATTTTTGACATCATGGATGGATCTTGAGAGAATCGTGCTAAACAAAATAAATCGGATGGAAAAGGACAAGAACTGTATGATTTCGCTCATATGTGGGATATAAAACAGGAAGCAACAAATGAACAAACAAAGCAAACTCATAGACACAGATAATAGTATGGTGGTTACTGGAGGGGAAGTGGGGTAAGGAGACAATGGGGGTCATGGTGACAGAAGGAGACAGGGTAAAGGGGGTCATGGTGACAGAAGGAGACATGATTTTGGGTGGCGAACACACAATGCAATACACAGATGACATATTATGGAATTGTACACTTGAAACTTATACAATGTTATTAACAAATGTCACCCCAATGAACTTAATAAAAAAATAATACTAAATTAATAAAGAAAGCGATAGGGATTGCTTTCATTCCATTAATGCTACAGAGTATCTGGGGATAGGAGCAATTCAGTGAGCAATTACTACAGGGTGACAAGTCCTCTGATGAGGGGACTCCAAGGAGGACAGGCTCTCACAGCAGAAACTCCTGAACCAGTCCTGAATGCTCAGGAAAAGCCTGACTTAGGTGGAGACCTGAGGATGCATGGAGTTAGAGAGGGAAAAAAGGCAGAAAGAACAGCATGACAGAGGCTTGAGGGGTACAAAGAACACCTTTGTTTCCTTTGAAATGTAGGTGTTTTCTCATGCAGCACATTTGCAAGATTCATGCTCAAATAACTATGGACTTTTACAACTGCAAGGGATATTAGACATTGTCTAGTCCTAGAATCATGAACTGTTAAAACTGGTCTTATCTACGTCCCTTATTCCATACATGGAAGAGCCAGAGCAGTTTAGACCTGTTCCCAATGGCAACCATTAGTGACCGAGACACAACTGCAGCTCAGCACAGCACTTTACACCACCAAGATACGAAAGTCTAAACTGACCCAAACTGAATGTGTACATTTGCATGGTCCAAAACCTGGAAACAATGTGCAGAGAGAAACCTTATTTTGAAGTCTCAACTCCAGCAAAATAAAACAAAACAAAAAGCCAACAAAAAACTAAAAATAAAGAGCAAAATAAAAAATATGATAAAAGCTCTCAGCAAAACAAATTCTCCTGGCTCTGACTGTGCTAATAATATCCGCAGAGGACATTTTCCCCCCTATTTCATCTGACTCCTTATCTCTGTGTTTCTTCTTAAATTGTCATTTCTTATATGGACACAAATTGCCCCAACCCCAACCCCCAAACTAGTCTCAGGATAAACCCAGTGTAACAAGAAAGAAAGAGAATCTCCAAAGAAGAAACTCTCGTGGGGATGAGGGAGGTGGGATGCAGAGAGGAAGTGGGCTTCTGCTCTGCTGAGGCCCGATCAGTCATGGAAACCCATCGCAGGATGCCAAGCCCCCCAGGGATTCCTGCATGGAACGGTTTAGATACTTACTCAGATAAAATTGCCATAGCTCAATCAGCAGCCAGAGAATGAGAGGCCCTTTGGACATTTTGACTCTTGGCAGACCCCAGGAGTCTGTCTCTCTGTCCAAAGTCCATATCTTATATTCTAGTTAATGCTGACAGGGCGGGACATTTTGGTTTCATTTCTCTTTTTGCCTCAAAATCTTCCCTTTCCCCCATCCTGAATGGCTTCCCTTAATCTGGGATGTATGATAAAATGTGCTGACCACTTTTCTCCTGGACACTAGTGTGTGTGTATAAATAGGTGGGGTGATGGTGTGGGCACAGGTACTCCATGCATTTGGGGGATCTCCTGCTGTGCACGAGCATCGGTACATGTGCCTGTGTGTATGTGCTTGTGTAAGCTGCGCATGAGCTGTGGTCCTCCTGCCTGCTGGCAGCTTGTAATAAAATGTAATTAACTCTCTCCACTGGTAGCTGTTTACACATAGATTCCGTATAGGGGCCAAAGGAAAATTAAGTTGGAATTTGACTCTGCTCCCATTCTAGGTCCTCCCTCACTCACACCCTTGCCCTCCTTGCCCTGATAATGGAGAAAGAAAAGCAGGGCTGCAGTCAATTATCACGTAAGCCAAAAACACCATTAGAGTTTACTGGGCAAGGGAAAAAGAGGTTCAGTAGAAGAAGTATACTGTGATCATTATAAAAAAGTTCAGAGTCTGGGCTCAATTCCATCACGTGTTAGTGAAGCAACTTCATAAGGAAGAGCATAAAAGATAATTCATTAACCAGATTTTAGGGCTTGAATTAGATATTTATGGCCTTTCTGGACTCTGTGGCTTCAATGAGATATCCAAGAACACAGAGCCAATTAGAGGAGGAACCAAATCAATGTTTGCCAACCAGATGTGTTTTCTAAAACAGCTTTAAACCATCATTATTAGTTAATAAATGCTTAATTATATGACAAGCACTCTTCTAAATAATACTGATATATTATTTAATTATCATAGCCCTAAGAAATAGATAATATAATTCCCACTTAACAGATGAGAAAACCGAGGCTTAAGAGAGTCACATAAATAATATTCACAACTACGAAGTTGTAGAAACAGCTCAAGGTCAAGACGTCCTGATCTCAAAGCCCATGCTCTTAATCAATAGACTCTCCTTTGACCCGTAACCCTTAGTGTGATGCAGCCATGAGACCAGCTATTATCACTGACCAGTTCAGAACCAGCCCCAGAGAGAGAATTTAAGGATGCACAAATGTTCCAGATTTTTTTTAATCTTCATTTGATTGTAAGCAACCAAACAAACCCCAAACATTCAACATTGCTTACACGGAAAATATAAGTATTGGGTGAGGCTCTGGATTCAGAGAAGCCAGAAAACAGGGGGAAGGAATGAAAATAGAAGGATTCAGAGAAAATCTTTCCACTGAA